CCCCCCCCCCCCCCCCCCGCCAAGAAATATCCAGCAAGTAAAACATAAATAAACAAACAAACAAAAAAAATAAGCACCCGGAGCAGTGGGTGCAGGAATGTTTAAATGAGAAAAGATGGGCCTGGTGGATGTGAATTTTCCCTACTCCTAGCAATGTTCAGAGTTGTAGCAATATGAAGTGATAAGGGAGTGTAAGGTTTCTTAAAATATCCCGGATAGTTTAACTTGGTGATCATCTCGGTTTAATGTCAGAAACCTCAGCGGTTCCAGGTCCTGGTGAGGAAAGCTGGAGACTGGGGCTTGGACTGGGCTGGCCGCAAGTAGACTGACCGGGTCCAGCTCCCAGGGGTTGGCACGTCCAAGCCAGACGGCGGCGCTTTTCACTCGAGGTTTTTTGCAACCTTGTAAGGAAGTGGGCGCGGGCTGCACGGAGTCGGCGCCTCCTGATTGGCCGGCCTTCTCGGTGATTGACAGGGCTCCGTACTCCACCCCCGCCGCTTTATTGACACTAATGAGCAAGTTCTTCCCACCGCTCTCCCGACTGGAAGTGCTGACAGATCAAGGCAACAAATTTCAATTACAATCCCTAATTTGTGTCCGCAGAGTGTTTTTTACCCCTGTTAGTCCTCTTTGGCGCATCAGTTGAGGCAGATCTTGGAAGAGCAGGAAGAGGTGGAAGGGGTGGGAGCGAAGGAGTGCATCAGTGAGAGCGCGCACGAGAGACCGAGGAGAGGAAACTTGGCGGGCGCGCCGCTGGTTCCTCGGATCCCAACACAAGCGAGAAAGAGGAAACGCCAAATTTGTTTTTGCCCGCGGCGGGGAAGGGGGCAGTTCTCGGCCCGCGGGAGGCCTCCACCGTCGTTCAAATTTTGGTGGGGGAAGGAGAGCGAGTGTGCGTGTGTGCCCGTGTGAGTGTATATGAGCGAGGGGCGAGCGGGCGCCGGGCGGCGGGGATGGCCGAGAAGCGGAGGGGCTCGCCGTGCAGCATGTTAAGCCTTAAGGCGCACGCCTTCTCCGTGGAGGCGCTGATCGGCGCGGAGAAGCAGCAACAGCTTCAGAAGAAGCGGCGGAAGCTGGGCGCGGAAGAGGCAGCCGTGGCCGTAGAGGACGGAGGCTGCAGCCGCGGCGGCGAAAAGGGCTCCCCGGAGGGAGACGAAGGCAAT